ATTTAAGAGGATAAAGGCTCAGAAATGGCTCCTGCGGAGACGGAATGCCACAAGACGGTATGAAGGGGCCAACTTCAACAAGGCACAATGGTGATGACGATGAAAAATGTCAGTTTTGCAAAGAACTGAGTCTAACGTCATGAATTTTGAGCCAGAAACTAGATTAATTGGAATGAAGACGCACTTGATGACCTTAAAATTATTGAGACAGCTATTACTGCAGAAAAGCATCGCGAGTGGACTTGGAGGTTTGTAGAAGCCCGCCTACATTGTTACCAGTTTTCTGATTTTTTTTGCTAGTGAGGTTGTGAAGCATGTCACCTGAACCCATGATGGCCATGCAATGAACGCACCCCAGCCCTCCTTTCCGAATGGTTTTCAAGGATTTCCCCTTGGCCGGGGTTATGGTGATGCATTACTCCGGTCCTTCGCCGCTGTCACAATAGAAAAGCTGAAGAATTGACCGGCTCGAAGCCTACCGGCACGCACTAGGAGCACTGACAGGCACCCAAAACTATGAATATTATCGAATAAAGAAACTTTTTAGAACAAGGTGGGCAAGAATTTCCTCCTTGTCACGTTATGAATTAAAAGTCATTACTTCTTCTCTTTTAATTTTATGCACAAACGAAAACTCATCTATTAATGATGCCTTTGAAAACAAATGAGTGGCGGTTGACGTGGACGTTTGAGTCGACCGTAGTGCGATTTATGACAGTCCGAAATTCATTTAAACCCCAGTATCAGATAGATGTATGACTGCCGTTGGGTTCGTAGTGAAAAAATCCCCTCTCATAGTCAGTGAACTCCTGTTAAGTCCATGATTACAAGTCGAGTGGGGAAGCGAGTAAGCCTGTCAGCGCTTAGATCCCTCCTCCTTTATCAGTTGCTTAGGCAACCCATCTCCCTGGCACTGTGCTAAATTCAAAACTATCATGAATAGCAGCAGTGGTGCATTCAGCCAGCCTGCAGCTTTCCAACTCTTGGTCTTCCGTAATTTTATAGCCTAGCCCCAAAATTCCTCATTCTTTGTAGTTAATAATGCAGCTGGATGCCTGGAGCTTCTTATTTCCATCACATGAGCACGACCATTTCCGAGCTCGTGATGCTGGACTTCACTCCCATCAACGTGGAGGGACGAAGTTGCGACCCAGACACGGATTTTTCCACATCAATTCAACACCTTTAGAACGGCACCCACTCCCGCTGCACAGTGATAAGCTTAATGGGTGGCCAGTTTGCCGAGCATAATCCGCCACATTGGGCACTGAAACTCGTCCAAATCCCCATTGACTCCCCTTGAAGTTTGTCAGGCAAATAACGGCAAGGTACGAAACACCTTTTGCGGGCAAATACTGAATACTCGAACCTCAGTTACCTCCTGATCATCCGATGAAACATTCCCGGCCTTGTTCTATGTATCCTACGAGCGCAAACACGGACTGTAAATTATTAGAGCCCCCCATAACTTAAGTATTTTAAATGGTTAATTACTCACTTACCCAGGTTATGAGCAGACACATCACCAAGCTGGGCCAAATTTTATTTACATTTGCCTATAAACATAACACTTTCACTTTCCTACTCGTCTGGTCTGTAGAAGGGGAAAATTCGAGGGGAGAGCGAGTGCGCATAAGCTCAGCGCAGTTCAAAAATGTGAGCAAGTGGAAAGAAAAACAGGAATGATAACAACAGCGGGAGGAGTGTGGAGCTAAGCGTTGAGGACAAGAGCATTAGCTGCGGAAGGCTGCTTGTTCGACGCCTCTGAGCACGCACGATGAAAATAACTGTGAATCGAAAAGAAAGTCTTGTAATGCGTAAAGAGACAAAGTAGAGGCATCGGGCGTGTTTTTCTCATCAATAATCTGAAATTCTTATTCATACTACTTGGCACAAAATACTAGCGAGGTCCATGGAGCTCCGACAAATTTAAAGACCAAGAAGGATTGATGAAATCTTCCAAATTATAGAGGTGACATGGCTACAACTCGCACTTATGTGAAGGGGAAAGATTGAGAGATTGGAGGAAGAGGGCTCCTGCCACAAAACACAAAGGCAATGGCTCACCTTTGGAGTTTGTACAAGCCATGCAGACAGTTCTCGTCATGCGAGGGATCAACATCGAGATCAGAAACTTTGAACCAGCGCGCAAAGTCGATGAGGTGGAGACGCATAAACCGGTGATTAGGAAAAGCAAGATCAGCGGCCGACCTTGGCGTGGACCAATCGTAGCAGAGGAAGAGGGAGGAGGCCACAAAGCGGTAGAGGGTTTGTGCTTCAAACCACTCGATAAGCTGTTTTAGACGCTCCGCAAAAGCATACGCCAGGGTGCTCCGCCGATGCATGACGTCTTGATCACACTTTCCATCGAGAAATAAGCGTATACCTGAGAGAGGAAAAGAGGAGAGAGAAAAGTAGCCAGTTGAATGGTTGGAAAGGTAGGGGGATGGAGAGATAGGCAGATGTTGGTTTGAGCGGATAAACTCACCTTTTTCGTAGATTATTGAAGGAGATAGTGACTTTCCGTAGAGACGGTCATAGAAGGCACCGTCCACCTGCAAAAATATAAGTAGGGTACCTCCTTTGAGAAACCGATTCCACCCCAAGGGAAAAACTTCTGATTCTGTTGCCATGTGGATACTTGTCAAAAACCTTCTTAAATAGAAGGACTGACAATTTAGCAAATGAAATACACACTACGTCCACTGCATACGGTCATGCATCCTCGAAGATGCAGGTAAATCGGGCTGTTTCGGCTAATGGGGTCGAGATCGCGGCAATAAAAGCTACTTGCAAAAGGAAACTTTGGAAGCCATAATTAAAAGTGCTTAGAGTGTTATTTGCTTCCTACCCAGCATTCTGGTAATTTTCTGCTGGGCAAAACATCTTCCAAATTTCACTGGGAGGTAAGTTCCAAAGTCTAAGCAAGAGTATCATCAACATGCCACAGACTGGGATCAGGGAGAGAAATTAGAAAGGGAAGGAGGGGAGAACGCACCCGAATGCCGGTGATGAAGAAACCTAGCTGACGCCGCCAGGGATACTTTGCCTGTTCCATGGCCATTTTCTCGGCTGGGGCCAGAGGGCCGTAGCTTTGCCGTCCCAACTTGATGTCCATCGCGTTAGGCTGCTCCATCTCCCACTGCATGTCTGCCATTGCCACCAGGAAGCCTGAAAGAGGTTGCAAAACAGAGCTACAATTCCTTTAACCTTAGGGAACCACAGTCAACGCTGAGATATGGGCACGAAAGATCTCGTTGTTCATTATTATGCATTGGACTGACTGCCTGCAGGCACTCAAGCGGAATTAGCTCCGTGACGACTTTGCTGGTTGTTTCGAATGAACAATGAAGGCAAGAAATAACAACATTTCACGCATTCTATTTTAAAACTATGAGGATTGTGCCACCCCCGGAAACCCAAATATGTGAATGAACAAAGCCCTGCACCAAAATTCGACAACAGGGAGTTCATCAAATGACACTTAGAAGCATCATTTGGAGAATATCGTTTTCTTCATCGAATTCCTTCCTACGCTTGGTGGGCTTTAACCCAAGAGTGTATCAAATTCAGTTGACTTTAACGATCGCGTACTTTGCTTTTTACAATCACAAATCACTGTCGGCATGACGCATATGTGTCACTGGGTTCACATCCGAAAATAAAGGCGTCGTGCATATTTTCTGTTGTCTATCTACCAGAATTGGTTGCACCACCTCACACCACATATGCATTTGCTGAACTGAAGACATAAAAAGTGATTCTGTAAAGAAGCCTCCGCACTTTAGTAGTACGGAGATTAGTTGAGTTGGGAACTATTAAAGTGGAAATTCAAAACAGGGGGGATTTAACCAACCCTAATCGTGAAAACATTCGAGACACCGTCACCAAATCCATTCAGAACGAAATTTAAGATGTTCATCTTACTATGATTAGACGATTTGGCAAAGCGCAGGCGTAAAAATGTGATTTATGAGGTCAAGGTTTCAGCCATAAGGGATGTGATGGGGAGTAGTAGCAGTGTATGCATCACACGCGATCCACATTCACATTACTAACTGGCTGTGAGCTTTAGCACAGTTATGAGCCGATAGCTTTTACTGCAACCTCAGTCATTTTAGCAAAGCAAAACCAGCATGCGAGGTGCATTAAATGTAGGCGTTTATAACCTTCGGGAAAGCAGGGTCAAGAAACCGACTTGGGTGAGGAAGAGAAGTGAGTATCTAATAGAAGTGATAAGATTACGACAAAATTTATATAAATTTCCCGCACTGCACAAACCACAAGCAGGGGGCAGGTTTGGAAACCGCTACATTCGTCAGAATATGAAATAAACATTTTCTTTTAAGCCTTAGGAAACTTTTCACTCATACAAAATATTTTACTAAACATCATTTCGTGTTTCATTGCTTCCTAGTCCCATGCACTCCAGAGTTCTTACCAGCCGGTTAGGGTTAAGCTAAAGTTAATTAAGTCTCTTATATCCCTACATCCAGATCTCTTAACAGGACCATTCTTACTACATTCATTGACCTAGTAACAGAGGTGATCTCAGTCCATTGATGGGCTGCCGAAATAGGTTGGTAAGCGACACCAATATTCGAAATGAAGGTGGTGCTCACTGCTGTCGCCCAAATTTTAATAGATTTCGAGCTTTTGACTTTTAGACCGCAATAAAAAAGCATACCCTGCATTCCAAGTTTGGCATTTCACATCAAGCAACCTAGTTACAGAGGTGGTCGTAGTTCCTTCAAGCGTCATTTTGACAGTGGCGGTTTGTAAAACCACTGTCCAGCCCTATCAGCCAACTCAATAAAGCAATATCTGTGATTTTGAATTAAATCGCCCAGTTTCGCGTGACTACTAAGTTGGTGAAATGGGAGAGTGGAAGCGATACACAAAATGAAGCTTACTTCCGGAGTCCGGTTGGTGAAAGAGACCACGATACGCAGGTAAGAAGGCTTTCAGACGACTGAGCACAGCGTTGTCAGCATTTTCAGGCGCAAATACCTTCGCATAGAAGAGGGCCTCATTGAAACCCTTGCGACGCGCCGAGAGCACCTTATAAACCGTGCCACTGGCAGTGTCGTAGAGGACTAAGGGAAAAAAAAGGAAATTCCCAAACAAAGTTTGCCTAATCATGTCAATGTCCTTTAGCAAAAAGGATCGAAATTAGGGAAGACAAGAAAACTGCAAATCAACCGTAAATAAAGTTAGCAGCAACCAAAATCGTCAAATTATTCGTAAAAAAATGTGCGTGTAAAGGTTGTTAAAAAATAGTCAGAAGCATGCCAGCCACGTCACAAAAGCTTCCAGAATAAAATAAGGTATACAGTCACCCACCCCTGAAGTACATGAAAGCAGCCTCTACACTGAAGCAAACTCCCAGCTAGCAGTTCGATTCTACGCGACTTACACTTATTTTTTAAAGGTTTCTCCGGATTAAGGCCGCCTATTTGACGATTGAATGAAACAAGCCCATCTGGCAACATTTGAGCAATCAATTCATCGTTAAACAAAAACCGTTGTTGGTTTTCCGAATCTCTATGCATACCGTCCTAAATCTAACAAAAAGGGCCACTAATCTATTCGAGCTAATCGGCCTCATAAAAGGAAAATACAAGTCACCAAATTATTAGTAGTTCAATATTTGGCCAATAGGAATGAAGGGCAGCTATTGGTTTCAATGAACAATTGAGCCAGTCGCACAAATGCAGAAAAGCTCAGGTGAATTATGGTATTCTAGGTCAGAAGTGTCTTTAACAAATTTTCAAATTGCGTTTATTGTCAAAGATTCGGAATTACAAAAGTATTATTCACCTGTAGCAGGTTATTTGAAGGCCAGTAAAAAAAAGGCATAGGCCGCAGCGCGTAATATGCATCGTCTTATTTGCCAGCGATTATCGTAAACCACATTATTTTTTTACATAGTACGTTGTCTTTGGGTAAATTTCTTATGTACATTGATGGGAATGTAAGACTAGGCAACGGATACTCTAAAGGCAATCCTGATAAACACCTTTTAACAAAATCACTTTATTCATAATACGTGCCAAAGTGCACAGCTTTTGAAAGAGAGTTTATCAACATCAAAAGCAGAAACCAACAAAGGAGAAACTGAAATTTGTTACATTGTAGTCGGATTCCTTCTTGCAGCCCGAGAAAGCCAGTGGGCTAGGGCAAAAGATGCATTTCAGACGTACAGAAGGGCACAGGGGGTAATGGCATGGTTTTGAGATTGTGCAGCCCGGTGGAAGTGCATTCGTGGGGCCTTAAGTGCAGACGAAACTAAAACGTAGCATTTAACAACCAATTAATGTGCTGTATTTAACGCCTACTGTACTCATTAAAAGTAGACAAACTAAAGTGTTATAATTTAGTAAAATTTGCAGAACGACCTTTTAAATAGCAAACTATTGCTCAACCAAACTTCCAACACACTTGGTGAACAAATTCCTTCCTTGTAAGAATTTGCACTAGGGCGGTGACCCTTTCCTGAGCTTGTTACAAGCAAAGATAATGGAGAAGAAAATACATCAATGGCATAGAGAAGAGGTAGGCAGCTACTTGCCCACTTCCTAGGTCATGCAGAAGACAAAAAGTGTAGCCTGCGGATTCAAAGTGCATGCATGGTCTAACGCACGGTCGGACAAAATTAGATCTACACATCATTTTTACGTAAAAACATTGAGTGAAAATTCAACGCATTTCTGCCACTTATACTTTGTAAAAACCCAATTTTAGTGTGAAATATATTTAGCTGGAAAAGCGTTAGCAAAATAGAAAACTTGGGACACATCTTGTATATTTATTTATCTAACACTAATAATTTAAGTAAGTTGACACTCCTGGTTTCTCCAACCATTATTTCTTTAATCAATGAATATTTTTACAAAGATATTTTGCCTTAAAGTTTTTTAATTAGACAAATAAGTTGGCCTTAGATTAAAAAGCCCATAGCTTGTTCTAACCCATTGCTTCTGCGGCGGGTCTCGCGGTCTCCGCACCAAGCCATGTTTTATTGGAGAGATATTGGTTTCTCGTAAATGTCCTGTGCTGCCTTTACTTTCCGTAAAGTTATCTTAGGTACTCCCAATTATGTGCGCAGGCACTTCGGTCCGTTGTTAAAGTTGAAGCGAAGCCGGGTCACGGCTTTGTGGAGTCTGGTGTGGTTAAGACAATGTGGAAGGATGGAAAGCCGCTGAGTAAGATCAACTTCTTTATTCACGTCTTTTAGAAAAACGTGATTAAATGTGTCGATTGTCTACACGGTTGGTCTCATAGCTAGTGTATTACGTAAACGATTACAGACCATGAATTGTTCATTAAAGTTTTCGACTTCTCCTTCATTGGGGTCTCGGTTTTGCTCACAGTGCTTTTACACTATTGCCTAGGTTTTTTTGACATTTGTCAGTTGTTATAGGCTTTTTTCTCGTCAGTAGGAATTTTTGTGGGATTTGGCGGGCTGTACGTTGAAATAGATGATGTTTGTCTGTTGTGTTGTTACCCCCGTCAGCCCTGTTTCTGCTCTAGCATAAATGGTAAAATAAGCCAAGAATCAGTCTTTGAGTTGGTTCAATTCATTGTGATTCGGAGGCTGCAAATCCGGGTTTGCCTACGTGAGTTCCTATTTTGTGTTGTTCTTTATCGTCTCGGCTTTCATTCGCGAACTACCTAGCGTGCGCCATCCGCCCTGTTTTTGCCTCGTGATATTTCGCACGACAATTGGTCTATTTACTAGACATAAGTAGCAATTGTGTTGTTCTGGGTTTAGCCTAAGCGTGTCGTTTCGCGCCTAGATTTGGTAGGTTTATTAGCTTTCACTGTAATCATCAAGGGCGATTATGTGTTCCGGTTCGTTAGATAATGGAGTGACAGTGGTGAACAGATGAAAAAAAGGAACCTTTTTCGTGTTCCCGGAGTCATGTTCTGCTACCTTAGGGGTACGCAAATCCCGTGTTTAGAGTAAACATTGATCTCAACGAGATTTGTAGGACACTTGAGAGGATTTCCCTTATTTTGCTAGACAATTCTGAATGCTCATTTATCCGCGCGAAAATCGGTTTTTTGTTTCCTGTTCATTTGGTTGTCCACGTCCATAGTGTTTGGTTAAAGCTTACTTTTACTAAGTAGTTTTTAATTCAACTTAGTCTAATGATTTTAGAACAAACGTACTACTCTGACAATCCGACGGTTTTATTTTCACAATTAGTTTGTGCCGATGTTTTTCGGTTAGTTGTAGTTGGTTGTCTTCGTGTTCGTAGTAAAAAAATTCCCGCAAAGCTGGTTTTTCATCAAAGTTCGGATGAAATGCAAATTGTTTAACCCATTTTAACACCATTCAGTAGCTTTAACGCAGTGCAAATACCCTTCTCAAAGCCTTCGTCAGCGTTTTCAACAAAATCAACAATTTGGCGCGGAATGGTGTGCAATTCACTTTGGGTGCGTTGAAAGGTCACAGAGACTGGTTTGTTGGTTGCCTGTAAAGACACGCACATCTGCATACCTGTACAATAGGTTGCATGTATCATCTCAGAAACGAAATACATGGGAGCAACGAGGTAGGGATGTTGTCGCGGCATAAGAAGCAAAAGACATGTCCATTCACCACATGCATGAGATCCCTGTTGTGTCATTCCTGGGTAGAAGTTAAAGCCAGCCAATCTTGAACGGTGGTTGGCATATTTCCTTGATTCATCAAGTGTTAATGGTGCGGGTGTTGAGCTTGTTATTTCTCCACAGAGAGTGAGGCTAAATTATGCAGTCTGTATTGGGAAGTGTCCTGTGACAATTCCCCTCCAACGTGGCTATCATTTGCCAGTAGGAAGTAGGGTTTGAGATCTTCGGACTTTGGGCCTTTCTGATTGCCAAACCAATGCCTACTGTGTTGATGCTTTCCATCGTTTGATCCTCATCCACCGGTGTAGCTGAGACGTTGTTAAATCCATTTTGCTGAGTTTCTTGTGTGACTACTTGACGAGTTAGTCTTTCGCCAAGTGTCACATCGCTTTGTTGGCGTTGAGTTTATTTGGTGCTGGGCGGTAACCGGCTCCTAATCCAATGAAATCGGATCCTATCGAAGCTTTCAGGAGATCACGTTTGTTATCCGAGTTTGTCTTGGTTGTCATAACTTTAGTACCACCTGCCACAACATTTGACCTGATACAGCTGCTGTTGGCAAGACCAGCATCGGACGTCATTGGGAAAAAACCAGTGTCGTTTATTTGTGACATCCACCTAAGGTGAAAAATTAGGGCCGTCAACTGTATCTCATTCTGGTAGCGAAAGTGTTAACCTGCGTTTGAGGTGGACAATTTGGAGTTGTCGGAACTCCATTGCGTTTTTTTGTATTGCGATTCACCTACCTTTACGACAAAGGTGCTCGCAGAAATCGAGCTTACGAGGTAATGCTGACCAGGGGCACGGTTTGAAGCAATTTTGGAATCTGTCCTCCATATTGCTAAAATTGTACCCCTGGATCAGAAGCCCGCGATCACAAAATAAACAACCACTAGGTTTCGCCGTATTGGTGGGGTCTGAATTAACTTTCCGTGTTTTTTACTGGAAATGATTGCAACCACTCATCGACATAGCAACTCCTCATCTTCTTTGCCCTTATTTTCTCAATTAAATGTGCCTGCCATGTGACCAGACCGCCCGGCTGAAAAATATCTTTGGCCCTATTTAAAAGAGTGGACCAGACCAGACCCAGACGTTCCATTTCCAGTGTCCCAGATTCCAGACGCCCCAACCCCAGTGATGGAGCAGAGAGTATTAACAAAAATAGAAAATAAGTAAACACTCCTTACCAAGGGTCTGGCGGTAGTCATGTGCATGCCGATTTCTTGGCGTCGTCTCTGCCACCTCAAGGCGGACCGCTAATGTCTTCCGCCTCTTTTCTGGTTCCTGCTTGCCCTCCGCTTCGGGCACAGGAAGACCCTGCGCGGTCACATCGATTCGGATGGCACTGCCAAAGCCAAGGCTAGACCGACTTACTTGTGTTCTGTCCTCCAAAGTTCTTATTATTCAGTAAAATCTGTCTTTTTAATTTCTGAAACAAACAAATCGCTTGATTGGTGACCGTTTAACTTACCGTAGTTGCAGAGAAGGATGTGGATGTAACCCGATGGTGGCGGCTTATAAATATCATTCTGAGGTCGCGTCTTGTGATGCCTCCTTGTGCTGACCTTAATGCCTAGCCACGGGTCAAATATCGTCATGGCAGTGGGAGTGATTCATCAAGCTCATTTAACTTCAAACGTTTTTTGTGAATAACGCAGTTGGGTATTTTTTTTTCTCTTTTTGACGAGATACTTTTGTCAATCCTGATGTATTAGCGCTAAGTGTTCTCCCTCAAATCTCTCGCGGGTTTGTCCAATTTTACGTCAAGTATTTGGGGGCCAAATTTGGCATCGCATAACGGAGACCTGCTTCTCCCTTGACTCGAGGATGTGGTTACTGCACCCAGTTGGGACGGAGGTGAGACGTTCGTCTGAATTCACCTACTTTTGATAGTTGAAGACTTTCGGTTTACTGAATTGGGCAATTGGCCTGAGTTCCAAACTACCCACAGAAAACTTAGCTTCAGTACTCTTTGCAACGGATTCTGTTGTAAGATTTGCGTACCAACGAGAGGAGTTGACTGAGTTGACCTAATTTGACGGTTTGATTCCGTAGTAAGATTAATATACACCAAAAGCTGCTATGTTAAGCGGTTTAAGATTCTGACAAGCGGAATGGAAAACATCTTGAGGAAGTTTCGTGCCACCTGTTATGCACTTTACGATTAATAAACACAGAAATGTTTTCACACTTTAACCCTTTCACTGCGATTGTCACGCATGTGTGACATGCTTTATTTTTCAGTTTACAATAAGAAGTGGCTGAATCTAAGGCCTCACCATAGATGTAACATATTCTTGATCTGAGGCTAACCAAATCGTCCCGATCCTTTGTCAGCCACAATGGTCGACGTTGGTGGCGAACTTGTCAAAAGGGAAGGATAGAAGTATGCATCTTAGGCAGTTGATAATCTATTGAGAGAGTGAGGAAAGGGAATCACAACAAACATCTCAACAGCCTTCTTAGAGCGGGACGAATCACGTCACCTCACAAACTCACTTCAAGTCTACCATTGTGTTTGCGATTTCAAAGATCCACCATGGTGCACTGCGGAATAAGTCAAGACCATTCGACTTCCCCTTACTTGTTTTAATCCCAACAAATTCGTCTGCGACACGGTGTGATGTAACTAGTTGGTATGCGGTAATAAGACACGCATGTCATATATTCGTAATGCTAAGTCTGGATAAAAAATCGATGTGTCACACATATGTGACGTCGACAGCAGACGTGTCAAGAAACTTGGGAGTTCTACATTTAATGGCATGCTAAACTGTGTGTATATAGAGCCGCCTTCCATTGAAACAGGAATAGGCACTCGGAAACAGAACTGTCTGAATTCTGCCTGTCGACTCGGAGAGGTAAAGAGCTTAAACCAAACTAACAATAAATTTGCTGCAAGATTGAGTAACTCCTAGACTTACATCATAAGCAGCAATATCACTTGTTTACTGTTTCAACCACTACCTGTGAAGTAATCTAGTTTAGCAGGAAACAAATTCGAAAATCAGGACCACCAAGTCATTGCCACTTCCCTCGACTTTTTAGTAGGTTTCATCATGGGGTGTAGTTACTCTTAGTACCATCGTCATTTGACTTGACTACTCACCCTGTTCCCACAAGCAAAGCGAAGACGCAAACTCACTAATCCGAATCGCAGGTACCATTGTCTTCAATAATGATTTCTCCTCTAAACTCCCAAATTGGACCAATGGCTGCGCTGAATACAAGCCGGTACATTTGAACCGCACGCGGGCAGCCAACCAAATCGACGTGCCTGCCTGTGCGCATCTCTCCGACAGCAGGCACTCACATGTGCCCCGACGGCACAGCAGCAGAAGTAGTCAAATGTCAAAGTAGGGCTTGCGCAATCAATAAAATGATGCGCTTCTCGTGATGACGGTCAACACGGTGTGGGGTAGGAGCGACTTCACTTGGCGTCGCTACTCACGTGAGCCTGATGCGCCACTTAGGTCCTTAATGTCGTACTAAGCATGTTTTCGACGGCGCCATCACATGACCGCCCTCCAAAATGATTCAAACATGGTTCCCTGTCGCAATCCGTAGTGGCAATTTCTCGACAGACTCACCCATAAGCAACATTGTAGTGTATTTAATACTCCTACACACGAAGCCAAATTCTTTCGCTTCGCAACCGTTTATTCCACCTCTAATGCAATTCTACTAGATTTACCGACTTCTAGCGGTAACTTCGAACTGTTCGACTACTTTGAAGAGTCCCCCTCAGCAAACATTCGGATCGTCAAGCCAAACATCGTACAACGTTCCGGTGGCAGTTTGGAATGCAGTAGAATCATACTCGACGACTCGACTCCACTGCCTCGCCTCAACTCACTTGAACGCTCCACAGGGTCTGGAACTGACGGCGGGACGGCGCTACAGTCGGGACTATCTGAGAGCGGCCGACACCGCAGGCCAAATCCACCTATACTGCCCCCATAAAAAGCGTTCTATTTGACTGCCCCAAAACCCTAGGTAGGCGCTAATTGACCACTTGAGTCGATTCAAAATTCTTCCCCATTCTCATGAAGTCAGGACACGTTAGAATAAACACAGCCTTGGGCAGCAGGAGCATGATCAACCGCGTTTTTAAACTGAACACACACAAGGCCTCGTCGTGCTCAAACACGCGGCGATCAGTGAAGCATGAATCACTGTTTCAACTCTCCAACGAACTAATCAACAACCATGTGCACACAAACAGCCCCGCTACAAGTACTCACAGCTACGTTGTCAATGCCACAACCCTAGCAGCTGAAATCATACACGTCGAAGCTGACCCGATCAAACATGCTGACGGGTAGCCAGAGACAAAGAGGAGGGGAATTGTAATATCGGAAGACGCGTGAACCGCAGCGATCGGAAGCACAATGAGGAAGGATTAGGATTTTGAATTGTTCGCTCCTTGAGCAGGGAAGAAGAAAAGAAGAGAAAGGGGGTGGTGGTGGGTGACGCGGAGAAGGAGGGAGCCAAAGTGACCACTAGGACTTGACGATCTTGATGGCCCACCTGAATTTGAGGTGCTCCTGCTCGTCATCGTCGGTGAAGACACTGGTGACGTTGTAGTGCCCTCGGAATAGCGCACCTGACTGCACCTCCTCGTCCTCCGAGCGCCACACGTAAGGCGTCGCCCGCGGGGCATAGCTGCCCAGCATTACCTTGTCCACCGCTATAGCATTAGCAGTAGCAAACAGTTCCATCACGACAACTCACATAGCTAACATACGGAAGTACTAATGGTCACATAAAATACACTTGCAACTCGGTGGGGGCCAAAATAGCATATGACATTTGCGTAGGCAGCTTCTGAAGGAGCCAATTTAGCCTAAGGATGATCTTAGTCTGTGCACAGTGGTGAAGGCAAAGCACGAAAGGCACAATTTAAGCCCGAAATTAAACTTCAACATCAGAGATTTCGGTCCTGATGCTACACACGTGTAGAAGTAGATCGCAACCTGGGTGTTGCATCGTCTCGATATGACCCCTTAATTGAAGTGGCATTTCACTGCCACTAAAAAATAAAAACACCAAATGCCCTGGGCATCAACTGCACTTTTTAAATTCAAGTAATTTATCTCCAACGCACTTTGATGCAAACATACATAACCAAGTGATAAAAAATAGATACCACACACATGTGACAAGGGTGACAAGTTCCACAACGCAATTATTACCGACCTAGGAGAAAATGACACCAAGATAACCGCATTGATAGTTGAGTGACGTGGAATTCAGACGCGAGAGCAGCACTAATGCCACTATAGACGAAGTACGCAACTTGAATTTTAGCTTAAATGGTGGGAGGCAGGTCAGAAAAGAGGAGGGAAAGAACCGCCATTTTTAAGTTGCACCTGATGCTAGATCAATCAAGCAATAACCACCTTATAACCAAGAAAAAGAGTCTGATTAGGGCTGTTGGTTGATGGTCGTGTGTGGAAAGCAAATAAGTGGAATTTAGAAAGCCAAATTTCACTTCAAGATAGCTTTAACTGAATGACAAGCCATACATTATCTCAGTGACTTAATTTTTATTTAACATAGGAGCTGTACACCTCTCACTATTATCGGTGGATGAGGATTAAACGATGGAAAGCATCAACACAGTAGGCATTGGTTTGGCAATCAGAAAGGCCCAAAGTCCGAAGATCTCAAACCCTACTTCCTACTGGCAAATGATAGCCAGGTTGGAAGGGAATTGTCACAGGACACTTCCCAATGCAGACTGCATAGTTTAGCCTCACGCTCTGTGGAGAGATAACAAGCTCAACACCCGCACCATTAACACTTGATGAATCAAGGAAATATACCAACCACCGTTCAAGATTGTCTGGCTTTAACTTCTACCCAGGAATGACACAACAGGGATCTCATGCATGTGGTGAATGGACATGTCTTTTGCTTCTTATGGGAAAGCACTTATGCCGCGACAACATCCCTACCTTGTTGCTTCCATGCATTTCGTTTCTGAGATGATACATGCAAACTATTGCACAGGCATGCAGATGTGCGTGTCTTTACAGGCAAACAACGAATCAATCGCTGTGGATTTCCAACATACCTGAGTGGAATCGCAGCCCATGCCGTAACTGTCAGGCGCTCATTTCAAGCAAGTAATAAATGGATGTAAATGGTGTGGATACCTGATGAAGAATTTATGTTAGGAGAGGATGTGCTGAAGTCGAAGCACTTATGATAGCTAATAAGGCAGTAAAGTTTCCTCCACGCTTGTCAATTCAGACGAGGGTACATTGCTAAATTTGAGCGAGCACGCTGGAGCACGAGCTGCAGCCCCAAACACTTCGAAGGTGAGATATTTCAAACCAGTTTCGGATTGGCTTAGCAGCAAACACCGATTTTACCATGAGTAAGAACGGAGAAAATCGACGAGACGTCAAGAACAATAAAACTTGATGAAATGATAAAACACATAGAAGGCTAACTACACACAAACGCTCTACCCTGGCAATAAACCCAAGCGAAGACTTTTAATCAATGCCCAGCTTCTCCTGGCGCTCGCTCTTTTCATAATAAAAGTTCAAAACAATGGAAGACAAGCTAGAAACTCAAATAACTCAAAATTTAGGTTGAGTTGAATGCCGGAACACCTAATTACAGGAAAAGCTTCAGTTACAGGAGGTGCGGTTGAAAAAATGAGAACTTGGACGCACTAAATCTTAAATAAATTTAAACTTACACCTAAGGACGCTTTTGGTGGTTTTCTGGGCATAGCGGAGACCAGAAATAATCTCATGTTGGACATAAAATGTGACCTGGACATGGTACTGCGAACCTTCCACCATCTCAATCGGCTTATCTTTAAGGCCATCTAAATCTGGAAAGGCACAAGACACAAACCATAAATATTCCAATGAAAGTGAAAAAGAGCAAGAAAAGTTTCAGCTAAGGGTAAACAAAGGGAACATAATAAAACAGAGACCAATATTTTTAGCTTACTCTTTAAATCAAATTCATGAGTGGGTCCGCCGCAGACGCAGATCTCAAGTTTAGCCAATATAAACTTTCTCGGATCATCCGGGACTAATATAAAAGATGACTACGAAGAAAAAAACCTACAAGGATTCACAAGTTTGGTTCCGCCAAGAAGACACTCCTTGTATCGTTGAAGACTGCTGTCCTCCGCATCCAATTTGACTAATTCATCTATCGTCTTTTTTTCAGGAGCTTTGTAGCCATCATCATTGTTCAGTAAATCGGCTTCGTCACCCTCAGGCGCAGCCATCGCGAGCGCTAAACGTAGACTAGTTCACCCGTCCTTTATTTAACAGCCGCCAGATGCTGTTAAAGTCGGTCAATTGTATCCATCTGTTATAAGCCTCGAAAATTAAACATATTGGTCTAGACGTACAGCTTTTCTTAATTATTTCTGGTCCGTAAAATGATATGTTGCAATAAACAGAATAAATGAGGAGATATGTGTTCACAATAAATATAACTAAAATTTCAGACTTTATGGTGCATACAAAAAAATGGCAAGCTTAGTAATATTCAAAGGGCGTTACTAACATGTAAAGCATACCTGTGCATTAATACACGTAGGAGTTGGGGTTGATAGTGCGTCCAAATTAATGGGCTCAAACTTTTATAGCCAATTACGTAGAAAACAAGTTATGAAGAGCTCTGAAACATTTTACTTTTTATGAGTAAATCATAATGGGAGAGGATGGAAAGGCTACATCCCCTACTTTAACCAGTATGCCCTTAGAACAAGTTAAGCTCATGTTCTTAGGCTTTTTGATTTCTATTCAGTTGCTTAAATACGGAAAGGCCTTGATGCGTGTTTATAAGATTGTGGAATTGTTGTCAAGAATGGAGATTGATCATCACCCCTTTAGCCTCAACTTCTCGATTCAGTATTGTATATATCTTATTTCCAGAGAATAGGGGAGAGCATGGAGGAAATAATTATTCTTGCATTTTGATTTCTAAAGAGGACACGAGAAGTACTGGGTGGCCATTTTTGAATGGGAGATGATGCTGTTACTACGCCCCTCTCGGCTACACCGATTATGAAGGTGGGTCAACAGAGTCGTACACCCAAGATGGCTGCCTCAAAAAAATATATGTACTTTCCCTGACTTGCCACAATGGACATTCAGAGATGAGTGTAGCGCTCCCCGCTGTATAAGATTTTATATTGCATTTTAGCAAATCCTACAATGCTAGGCTAGGGCTGTTCGAGACAACTCCTGATTAAAGACATACGGCTTAAATATAGGCAGATTTAACACTTTAATGAGTAACCACTCTGTCCTATCAGAAAGGATTTGTTCTAATATCAAGCAAAGTACGTCGGGGCGTTCATTATTCTCTAACCCCTTTCTGAGATCCATAGCGCAATTCTGACGACTGTTTATATGAGTTTAATTAAAGTGCCACTACTCGAACATATTTCAGTTATTCCCTAACATCTTTATCCCTTTCATGAAGTGCTACGTAGAGTGGTCCAATATTTTTGCTATCATCGATGCAACGGTTGGGGAGCTCCTCTTAATTTGATGGACTCGCTCTTATCTCACTTGCATTAAAAGTAGTTGGCGTAAACTTGTCCCTTCTTACCTCTGAAGGTATGGTCAAAATAACATGCATTACACACCGATTGAAGGGGTGACAGTTTCCATTTAGGCACTCAAAGAGATGGTCATTTCTTTTAGCTAGTATACATGCGTCACTAGAGCTGATTTATGCCAGTTTGACTCATGTTTGCTTGCGTACATTTATTTCTAACCCACGATCAATTTTAAATGTGAAGTAAAAATCTTGCCAATGTTTTCGTTTAGAAGACTTGTTTTTTGATTATTTGCAGGTATTTTTGTAATGCTGTAATTGTTATCTGCATTTATCATACTTGTTAAAGTAGTGCGGACCACCGGATTAGTCAATTTTTTATTAGTTTGTTCCAGGAGGCGGTATTATTAACAACATCTCACACCCCGAAGGTTGTAGGCCTACTTTCCTTTCGTCAAGTCGACTTTTGTTCATCGCCATTTTTTTTGTACTTTATGCTACTCTTAATTTATGTGGATTTCTTGGACGGATTCCATTTGTTTAGACTTACTGATGCGTCTCAAGACCTCTTTGTGATTATTTAACGTATGGCATTGTTATCTCCTCTAAGACAACACAGTGATTATGTCTAGTCTGTTTTCCATTTTTTCCGAGTTTTTCCCTTGAGGTGATAGGGAATCCCGTTATTTTAGATGCTTTGGTAGTTTTCTTGCTGATTCTTTGGATGTGATTGTGAGGACGTCTTTGTGTTTTGCACCTCAGTAACAGGACATGAATACATCACCTGCGGCAGGAGCGCTCAGTAATGGATCAGACAACCAACTTCAATCCCAACAACAGTCTAACACATCAGGCGGTGGGAGCGGAGGTGGTGGCCAAGAAGAGGACGAATTCTACCCCCTCGCGGTTCTCATCGAAGAATTACGTAACGAGGACGTGCGTTTTCGCTTGAACAGCATCCAAAGGCTCTCCACGATTGCGCTGGCGCTTGGACCAGAGAAGACACGCGTTCAGCTCATCCCATTCCTCATTGACTCAATTTATGATGTGGAGGATGTAATGGTCGCCATTGCTGAGGAGTTGGGGCGATTCGTTCCTTACGTCGGTGGCGTCTCCTATGCACCCTGTATCATCAACCCACTGGAGAGTCTTGCCCTTGTTAGTTGACTGGAATATTCTTTTTTCTTCTCAAGAACGCAGCATGCTTTATGTAGCGCATGATCTTTACCCTATTCCACATCCTCTTCATTAAGGCGTTTGGCTGCGTGCATTTATGCTTTAACGTCGAAATAATAGCGATGTCTGACCACACTCCTAATTTTTTGGATTCTGTTTTGAAAGCATATTTGTCAAGGGTCTAATTCTGTGCATTCTAAAGTTCTCCGTTTCCTTAACATTATTTCCTTCATTGTCTAGATTCATTTGTGCCCGGCTAGATGCACTTTTTCTCGAAAAGGCATTGTTTTCTATAGTAAGCTACTTGTATTCATTGGTTTTAGACAGGTTTGCCTCGATTCAGACATGTGCACTATCTAAAGATCTCGTGTCCCAAGTCTCCTTACCAGTGTTTCCAGTTTCTGAAAACCGTGTTTTTTCTTACCAATTTCTTGATTACTTTTTATATGAGGAGTCTATCACCTTCTCGATTTAACCTTTAGAGATAAAAATTATTCGAGGTTTGCGACGAGAACGTCCCATTACGTGCTTTTGTGGTGCAACTATGATGCCTTTTAATAGTGTGAAACCAACTCTACTTCTAGCGCTTCTGGCCTTTTTTCAAACTTATTATATCTCAAGCAGAATTTTTATCTTACTTTGAAAATTCACACATTTTTGCATGCTTTCTTACCATTAGCGCTTGCTATATTTGATGAACCATGCCCAAAGACAGTCTTATAGCTAACAGAACTTATTTAAAAATGTCTATGCTTCCTGAAGAATATTTAATCCCCTCACTGATGAAATTGGCGCTCCTCCAAAAGGAGTAACTAGTACTGTTTTGTCAGCGTTAACTAAAAGACCTAGTTTTTTGCCGTCGTTGTGTAATGGCAGGTGGAGGACGCTAATGTGCGAGAGAAGGCGGTGCAGTCGTTGCGCCTGCTGGCACGAGAACACACGGACAGGGACTTGCAGGAACAGATGTTTCCTTTGGTGCGTCGTCTGGCCGCGGGCGACTGGTTCAGTAGCCGCGCCTCCGCCTGCGGCCTATTTGCTGTCGTCTATGGACGTTTGGATGCCACGTCTCGACAGGAAATTCTCTCTCTTGCTCAGTCCCTTACCAAGTTTGTACTCAATTCCTACTCTCCCTTTTACTACCTCTCTAGTCACGACTGTCCTTTGCCGTTGCTCTAGCGACGACACACCTATGGTTCGACGCGCTCTGGCTGCAGTGTTGGGTGAGTTGGCCCTGGCCATGGTTGGCTTACCACCGGTTTCGGACGCCGCAGCCGCCCCCTCGCTTGTCGGAAGCGCTGTCGGTGGCCCTGCCGGCGGAGGCGGCATCAGTGCTGACCAGGAGAATGCCGAGGACTGTCCACTCGACCGTTTGTCTGCTGGACAGCAGGAGACAGACGCCACACCCACCGCTACCTCCGCCTCTACCACCGAGGCTGATTCTCTTTTCTTCGTGCCAATTGAAGAGACACCGGAGGTGGCAGAGGCTCGCACTCAGATTGTGACCTCCCTCGTCCCCCTCTTCAACAGCCTAGCTTTCAAGGACGACCAGGAGTCGGTGCGCCTTATCGCTCTCGAGGCCGCCGTCCCACTGGCCCGGGCTCTAGGTTCTAACCTCGCGGAGCAGCACATCGTCCAGAGCCTGCAGAAGATCCTCGACTTCAAGTCCTGGCGCTCTCGATGTCTTCTCGCGAAGAAACTCACCCTCTTGCAGAGTTGCCTCGGTTCTCGCGTCACCAAAAACTGTCTCATTGTGCGTTTCCGCATGGTCAGCGTTACCTGTAGTGGTTCTGGGTTTATTGATTATTTACTTCCTCCCTTGTACAGGACCTCTTTCTCGCACTTCTCGCGGACGACATAGCGGAGGTACGATGTGCTGCAGCCTCTCAGATCACCAGCTTCACCAACGGCCTATTGAACGGTCAACCGGTTTCCTCGGCTGTTGTTGCTTTTGCTGCTGACAAAATCAACAGCGTGGCAGCATCAGCCTCGATGGCGATGGATGGAATTATAGAGGGTGGATCAGGAGAAGTTGGGGAAGGCGAAACGGAAGATCCCTCAACACCAAAAGCTCTGGGAGACGCCGAGGCGTTTATTATACAGCGCCTTCTGCCCGCCATGGCAGATCTCAACGCAGATTCCAACGTGCATGTGAAGGTGAAGCTAGGTCAGGCGGTGCTTGGACTGGCCCCGTTGTTGGGCCGCGAGCTCACCGTGGCGCACCTCCTGCCGATCATCCTGGCCCAACTGAAGGATGAGTCGCCGGACGTGCGGCTGGGTGTGATCACGAGCCTCGAATTGGTGAACAGCGTGGTGGGTGTGGAGGAGGTTTCAGCAAGCCTCCTTCCGGCCATCGTGGAGTTGGCCAAAGTGCCAGTGTGGCGGGTGCGTCTGGCTGTGATTAATCAGATGCCTCTGCTGGCCGATCAGCTGGGCGAAGCCTTCTTTGAGACGCGTCTGATGCAGCACTTTCTTTCCTGGCTCGCAGATGCTGCCTATGCGGTGCGAGAGGCCGCTGTGATAAATCTTACCCGTCTAACGCAGAAATTCGGCTCCCTGTGGGCTCGCACCTTCTTCCTCTCCCAGGTAAGCTTCCCTATCGAAGGCGGATTTTTAATTCACGTGTAGTGGTTATGTATATTGCGTGTTATAGATAGCAGAGCTGTCGCAGAACGAGAACTACCTTCAGCGGATGATCAGCCTGCAGTGTATCATTAACCTCAGTCCAGTGATAGACGCGGAGACGTGCTCGCAACTCCTTCTCCCCACCGCTCTTGGGATGGACCACGACCGTGTGCCCAATGTCCGTTTCAAGGTCGGCCGGTGGGCTTTTTCCTATCAATTAAAATATGCCTGTAATCTCCTGGTTTCAAGCAAATGTGTGGTTTTCTTCATAGGTAGCGCAGGCCCTGGCAAAGGTGGGAGAGGTGGTGGGTGCGGAAGTGGTGATGCCGTGTCTCCAGCGCCTCCTTAAGGACGTTGATATAGATGTGCGCTTCTATGCGGCTGAGGCGATCGAGTTCCTCAAAAAGGGTCCTGGTGAAAGCGGTGACAAGCGGGAGGCGCCCGCGCCCGTGATGATGGACACGGATACAGAAGCTATGTTGGTGACCTCCGCATAGGCAGCTTCGCAACCGACCTGAAGCTGCACTTTTTGCAGGCAACTTATGCACTCCATTCTTACGCGTGAACGCAACTGAAAACTGCATTATGTATTATTCAGCCCCTACCTATCTTATTGCTGTATGCTTTTCGTGCCCTTTATGGGTTTGGCGAAGGGCTAGTCAACATTTCGTCACCGTAGTGGGAGCACAGGGGTCTGATCAACGGTCTTGGGTGCCGTCGGTGACGCTCATAGGTGCGTTGAAATCGCCCGGGGTCTGGTTGATGTGTCAGGGTCTCGAACGGGGGAAGGGGTGTTCAGGTCCCGTTCTGGATCCGTCCCCAAACTATGGTGGGTTGGTGGTCGCGTTTAAGACTCTATCGGCCTACCGGGATTGCTTGATGAGAGTAAGGGATTGTAAACCAAAGCAAATTCTCTCAGAGTCCTCAATGGGGTCAAAGGCGGAATGTACAGGAATCAACCACCTGGCCTTTGACCGCCACCGTCAAAGTGGACAGAAGCATCCCTTAGAATGTTGCACAGAATTAGGTTCACGGAATGATTTCGGCAGACAGGCTGGGGATGAGTGCACTGGGCAGTTTTCATCAGACACAGAACGGACTGAACCATTAGATCTAGTTTTGCATTTATTATCACCGCATATATTAATTTTTACAACTCAAAGTTAGTTAGGCTCAATCGCAAACTCAAATACCTGGCTTTATGGGGTAAACTAAAGTCTATTCTATATTTACTTGTGAAAAGTTATTTGAAAAAATCTTTTAGCAGACAATTTGCGCTGATCATGTGGCTGCATGGACGGTACAGGTTTCTAAGAAGGAAACAAATTCTGGTTTCTAATAAATTTAGGATCCTATTAAATCTTTATCTCACTCAAATACGACTTATCTCTGTCTACTTAATTTTCTCAACCAAAGAATGGAGTGCGCTCCGGTTCTGTTATACATGAAAACAACCGATCTGGGTGATTGCTTAGGAAGCCTAGTCTTGATTATGGCTTTAACTAGCTTGCAGGTGGATGACAATCTCAGGACCCCTTTGCACAATGCCTAGAACACAATTTCAACGGAGTTTTGGCACTAGCATTTAGCCGTCAGCCGCCTCCCAACTTTAAGACATAAATCAAGTTAGTGGGTGTTAAAAGGTATAAAAGCACAACTACTTCAAATTTCATCACACTGTTGATGACTTTCAGTTTTAATGCTACTGCTGAAATACACCCAACCTTACATGCGCATTTGCAGCCTCCCCCTTTTATCTTCTGACCCGTGTTTCCATCCCAGCACTCGGCGTGAATGGTTTGTTGTTTGCACTATGATTCTGCACTCTTTTATAAAATTTCGGCCTTTTTAACCTGTATACTAATAGAATTGGTCACTTATCCAGACGTGATGCTATATCGACATCCTGATTTCTAGAATTGATAGAAGTATGCAGTTTCATCTCTACGATTAGAAAAGGACTTTGACTCAACCTTGCTTATCTATCTTAAAACGTGCAGACTTGATTCGACATCTTATTAAATCAATTGCATCCCCTTTGAAAGGATTACCCACTTGCCTTGCGTAACTTCACATCAGATCTTCGCGCTCTTGCTCGGAATTCCTCCCGTTCTTTCTCCTCAAAGAAACAATTCC